TTATGACTTTTATACATAGATGTATATAGATATTTTTAAGATATTTTTTTGACATGACAAGAGGTTCACAATTTCGTCTTTTTAATATAATATTACAGTATTTAGTAACCCAGAAGCTCTTGCGAGCAGATTTCTTAAAAAAATAAATCATTTTGAAGAAGTAACATGTGTCGCTTTAATAAGCATAACATTGGGATTAAACTGTCTTTACGCCAGGTGTAAAATTAGCGTAAGGAAGTACCGTGTCTTTACTGTCGCTTTACACGCACCTTTAAGCGTAAAGTTGACATTACACTATCTTTACGCTAAATTTAAAGGCGGCTTAAAGAGTCTCATTACAGCAACTTTACATATACGTAAAGGTAGCGTAAAGCTTGCCTTTACGTAACGTAAAATGTAACGTAAAGTTGTGTAAATGAGAACTTTACGCTAGCTTTACTCCAAGTTTAAAGGCGGCTTAAAGAAGTCTCATTACACCAACTTTACACATATGCATAAAGGTTGCGTAAAGCTTGCCTTTACGTAGTGTAAAGGTAGCGTAAAGTTTCGTAAATGAGAACTTTACGCTAGCTTTAAGTCGCCATTACTCCAACTTAAATTTGATTGTTCGTGCTGTGATATGTTTGAGAAAGGTATTCGTGGAGGAGTCTCGATGATTCCAACAAGGTACTCGAAAGCCAACAACAGATATATGGGAGAGAAGTTTGATAAGAGCGAACCTTCAAAGTTCATCACGTATCTTGATGCAAACAACCTCTACGGTTGGGCGATGAGCAAGAGTCTACCAACGCACGGTTTTAGATGGGTCGGATGAGAAAGACTTTGAGGATTGGAAGAATTTTCCTTGCATTCTTGAGGTTGATTTGCTTCCTGTTAAGGAAGAGCTGCACGCTTACTTCAACGACTACCCTCTCGCTCCTGAGAACTTGTTGGTTGGGAAAGTAAAAAAGTTGGTGTGCAACTTGAATGGTAAAAAGAAGTACATCATTCACCATGAGACTTTGAAGCTTTACATGTGTCTTGGAATGGAGATTGGAAAGATTCACCGCATCATCAGGTTTGAAGAGAGTCCTTGGATGAAAAAGTATATCGATTTGAATACCGAGTTGAGAACCAAGGCTGACAACGATCTCGAGAAGGACTTTTTCAAACTCATGAACAACTCTGTATATGGTAAGACGATAGAGAATATTCGGAAACGGGTTGATGTGAGACTTGTCAACTCAGAAGAAAAGGCGAGGAAGTTGGTAAATAAACCCAACTTCGAACGCTGCACCATCTCCGAGAATCTCTGTGCGATTCATATGAGGAAGACGCAAATTCTCTTCAACAAACCTCTCTATCTCGGAATGTGTATCGTCGATCTCAGCAAGACTCTGATGTATGACTTTCATTACAACTACATCAAACCTAAGTATGGAGATAGATCAAAGCTTCTCTTTACCGATACTGACAGTCTCTGTTATGAGATTCAGACTGAGGATTTTTACAGAGATATAATTAATGACGTGGATTCTCTGTTTGACACGAGCAACATTCCGAAAGAGCATTCTTCCGGGATACCAACCGGTGTAAATAAGAAAGTTATTGGAAAGTTTAAGGATGAGGCGGGTGGAAAAATCATTGTGGAGTTTGTTGGTCTGAGAGCGAAACTGTACAGCTACAAGATGTTTGATGGTGGAGATGAAAAGAAGAAGTGCAAGGGAGTGAAGACGGGAGTGGTAGAGAGTACCATCAGGTTCGATAACTATAAGAGATGTCTGTTTGGTGGTGGAAAACAGCATCGGAAGATGAACACGCTTCGGAGTTGAAAGCATGAGATTTTTATTGAAGAGATTAACAAAGTCGCCTTGTCCGCCGATGATGACAAGTGAATCATTCTTCCAGACAGAATCAACACACACGCAATCGGACATTTATGAACAGGCCTGCCGGCCAGTCTGAATGAATAATTTGAATTGTTGTAAAATAATGTGAAAAGATGATTATGTATTAAATTATCGTGACAGTACGATAATTTAACGATTTTGGCGAAGAACCCGCCTTATCCCTACTACTCATCTAGTCTACAAATCATTCAAGCTGGGTCAGATAATACGGTTGTGACTTAAATGGATACTCCAAAATCGGGTGTCCGAGTAAGGACTGAAACTGAATGATTTATTTTTCGGTAAATAATGAAGTAATAGGCAATAGTGGTTCCATTCCTTACTCGGAAACCTGATTTTGGAGTATCCATTTAAGTCACAACCCAGATAATACAGATAACAGATTAAACAGATTTGGTCGAAATTTTGTCTCCACCTATAGTTGACTTACTCGGGCTTTCACCATTATCAAATCGTAAACTCTATGAACTAAATTTCAACGGAAAGTAAAACTATTGATATATTGGTTGGCGCTTTCATTATTCAGCGGAACGGGAAGTTTATCGGCAAGTTCCCGGCCAATGTTAATTGAG